TGTGAAGAAATGGTTGTAATTCCTACACGGTTCATACTACATTTTTGAAAAAAGCCTTAAATGAAAGCTGAGAGTCTGCACTTTAAGCAGGTATTCATTGTTTCATTTAAAACCCATTGTGGTGGTGTACAGAGCCAAAATGATGACAACTGTATCATTGTCCAAATAATTATGGACCTGACTGTATTCATCAAAGATCTCACTTCTCTTAGCTTTCATTCCTTCCCTCCATCTCTTACTTGTCCTTTTCTATTCTGGCACACGTATATATTTTTATATTTTACTTATTTTTATCTGATATAAGTTTATACCACACATTTGTCATCTGAGCCTCTACTAACCCTCAGATGCGTCTAGTAACCATCTGGAAGAACAAACATCCTGAGGGCCGCCAACTGTCAGGCTGACACCGTCCTGGAGCAACACCAAAACAACCTCCTCGCATTGACGCCATACCGTCAGTGTAGGCTCTGCGTAGAGGCGTACCCCACGCCGCATTCTGACGTACACGTCATCAGACATGTTACACCCCAGACTTCTGTTTATTTTAATAAACTGAAGACCCCTCTCTCAACATGGAAACAATACTTTTATTCACTTTTATTTCACAGATATTGAACGACAAAATAAGGAAGTCCTATGTGTGATTTATCCTGGCTTCATATGAGTAGAGGAAATCTCTGCTAGATGCTAGGCTAATTTATACAATGTAAAATGCCATAGACTTGTGGTAATAACGTTAGCATGTTGTATTTGTGGGGAAAATGTGTCCAGATAAAGACAAGTGTTTGTCTGTGAATGCTGCGAGTTATAGTGAAGCTGATTTGTGTACTTGTGTTTGAAACTGTCTCACTGTCTCTATTAAGCCATGTTTAATATGAGTTTAATGTGTGTGTAATGTGTGTTAGAATATCGTCTTTTAATTGTGGAGATACAGCACTCACAGCAGCAGGCAGCTCTGCAGAAGCACAAGTGTTCAAACACTGCTCATGTGCTAGCTGCAGCAGATTACTGAGGTAGTCGCTAGGCAGTGCTCACGCAGACAGTGTGGCCCGGCCGTCAGAGGACACAGCAGTTTGAGTGGAGGCAAAACACGAGTGAGGAAGGACGATTCTGGTGTTGATTCACTGACTGTTAACTTCAGGATCTTCACACCTGCTCTCACGACCACAGCAGTTAGTTTATCGTTTATTATCATTACCACAGCAGCGTAACAGTGTGATGTCACTGGTGATGTCACTCTCACAACAATGGATTTTGGACTTCTGGTGCATCAGTGATTTTATAACTCGTGATTGTACCTGTTGGCATCGTGGGAGGGTTTCATTCTGTCAAACATTAAACTGGTTAAAAACCATCATGGCTGCTGGTTTGTATCGACAAGTTTTACTGTTTACAAACAAACAAATAAGCACACTGCACAAAACTCAGCGCCACAGTGTGAGAACATACAAATTTTGTTCCCTTGAAATTTAAAACTAAGTTCGGGAAAAATACCTTTTCATACACTGCAGCTTGCCTGTGGTGTGATCTTCCTGTTTCTCTCAAATTAATCTCAAATGAGAGATATTTTAAATTCAGTCTTAGGAAATGGCTGACTAATTGAAGATTCTGTGCTTTCTGGTTCCAGTAAAAAACAAAAACAAAAAAAAAAAAAAGTTTTAAGGGGGTTGTTTGTTTTTAACTATGCCACTCTTGCCTGTCATTGACACAACTGCCAGCTTTTATTGTCATCGAGGACCACAATGGAAATAAGCCTTTGGGCTTTATTGTGTATTTTAATCCTTGACAATTTTTAATTAATGTATATGAACCTGATCTGCAGTTACTCATGTATGTTTTTTAATTGTTGTCAAAATAAACCTAAACCTATAGATTTCATGTCGGACACACATATGAAGTGGGGGGTGTGGAGGTTAGGGTCAGCATCAAACCTTTATTTTCTCCATTCTGATAAAGTTTAATGATTTTATTAACGTCAGGAGATGATTCAAAATCTCAAACTCTGAAGTAAATATAAAGCAGTCGGGCTCTAATTCTCTCTGCTGACTCATGTAGGCATCATTTACCCTTCAGTCCTCTTCTGTTTGAGGAATAACGTCTTTAAATGTGCATTTGGCGTTTGTTCATGTCGGCAATAAAGGATGTTAGCTTTGCTGCTGCTGTTAGCTGTCCCTGTCAGCTGCAGCCACTGATGCTTTCTAGACATCGTGATTTCCCAAAACTGAATAAATACCACGCATCGCAACACAAAACGGCTTTGCTAGCTCAATCATGTTGTAACTAAGACATCCGCTGGAAAAAATATTTTTTTCATGGACCATTTAAGAGTTAATGAGTCATTACAGACTCTGCTAAGGGTGCGAAAAGCTAACGGTTGTTAGCTTAGCTTAGATTGTTAGTCCCTCCGAAGGGACACTAACAACTCAAAGTACACGTCAAATAAAATTTCTCCAAACATGTTTCTTGTTATTTTAGGTAGTTATTATCACGCTAATGTATGTTCAAGTGTTCATTTCCCCCGATAAGTTGGTTTTAATTCGTCATTTGATTCTATAAACACAGTCTGACCATCTCGAGCTTTTATTTTGGTACTTCCGGTGACCAGCAGTGTGAATTTGCACATTAGCTAAATATTTAGTTTCACCCAGAACATTTAGATTTAACATTTAGATTTATATTTAGCATTTAGATTTAACATTTAGATTTAGCATTTAGATTTAACATTTAGATTTAGATTTAATATTTAGATTTAACATTTAGATTTAGATTTAGCATTTAGATTTAGATTTAATATTTAGATTTAGCATTTAACATTTAGGTGCCACATTTAATATTTAGATTTAACTATTTAATATATTTCTAAGTCAACAAATATTGCTGTAAATGTGGTAAAAGGTGACGTTAAAAAATTCACAATACTTTTTTAAACATTGTTTGAAGCTAAATGTGGCAAAATGTTGATGTTATTTTCAGCGTGAGCCACTTTACAAACAGCACCCCATAGATTTCATGGGTTCTTATGGAAGTTTGCACGCCGGGGTGGAACTTTCGTGCAGTGAAAAAATTTTCCGCCCAGACTTTGACCCCCGTGGAATTCGCTGGTGTAACTACACAGCTGCGCCAATGAAACTGTTTGTTTATAGTCGCGCAGACCCGGGAGAGTCCGAAATCCAGTCAGGCAGGACAGTATGGGAGAAAGATTGATAAACCTCGTTTTACAGCACCCCGTCCTTTTTGATAACAGACGGGTTTTAATGAATTAAAGGACAACGTCTGGCAGTCCATTGTCCAGCTTGGTGGCTGAGAATGAGAGTGGTAAGTGCTAAAGAAAGTTGATGTTAATGCTTGTTAAACGTTAGCTTGCTAGCTCGCTGCTGCTTGGACTTGGAACACAACAACGCGAAATTCCGCCCCCGTGTGTATGGTTTGAGCACGGAAAAGCGCTGCACGAATATTGTGCAAATCCGTCCTGCATTTCCGCATCGCGGCAGTGAGAATGAACCTTTAAGCAGCTGAATTTCAAGGAGGCTCCATCATTGAATCCCTCCAAAGGACTGTTCCAATGTCAAGACTCCTTCGAGTTCTGCTGAGGACTCATAGAACACCTCAAAGTCAAGGATGCTTTCTTAGTAGGAGGAGTCCTTTCAACTCGGGTCCTACAGAGACTAGGCAAAACTCCTCCTTAACATTCTGTGAGCACACATTGGAACAGGCTAGCGAGTGGGAGACCCTGCCTTCAATACCAGTAAACTGTGCAAAGAGAATTGTGTAACTTTGTGCCTGCTGATGATCCATACATGTCCTTGACAATTCTCTGAGGGAAGGACTTGATCTTCAGTAGAATTTGAAGGATGTTAGCATGTAGCTACGTGTAGATGACACGTTTCCCTGATGTTATCATGTAGCTAC